CCCGCCCCGCCGGGGTCACGTGGGCGGGTCGGCGCGGTGACGCTCGGCGCTGACGTCTGACGGCGTGCGGCGGCTCGCCGGCAGCCGCCCCCCTCCCAAGATGGCGTCGCTGCTGCAGTCGGAGCGGGTGCTGTACCTGGTGCGCGGGGAGAAGGAGATGCGGGCGCCGCTGTCGCAGCTGTACTTCTGCCGGTACTGCAGCGAGCTCCGCTCCCTGGAGTGCGTCTCGCACGAGGTAACGGCGGCCCGGCCGCGCCGCGCCCGCAGACCAGTTGGGAGGGGGCGGGACGTTGCCCTCTCTGCCCGCGCCGGTTGGGTGGCTCTCCCGCCGCTCACTCGCTGTCTGCCTCGCTATTGGTTGGCGGCGCGGCTGAGGGGTGCGCGCGGCGCTGCCTGCACGGAGAAGGGTGATTGGCGGCGGATGAGGGAAGGGGCGGTGCCTTGCTTTGGATTGGCTCTGCGCCCCTGTCCGTCGGCGGAGTTCGGGCCGTGATTGGCTGAGGCGCGCGTACCAGGGGTGGGGACTGCCGCGAGAGGCGGCCTCCCCTCGTAGGAGAGGTGCCCCCTCCCCCCGCCATAGGGCCCGTCTGGGTGGGAGCGGCCCCTCCGCGGGGCCCGGCGGGGGCAGCAGGGACCCCCCCCCAGACCCCGCTGTGGGGCACGGCGGGGGGGGACAGGGACCCCTTCTCACACACACATCCCCACCGGGGCCGGCCGGGGAGTGGCAGGGACGCCCACCGACCCACACCCCTCCGTGGGGCCCGGCCCGGGATGAAGACCGAGCCGTTCCCGGGCTTGGGCTGGTGCCTGTCACAGCGGGAGAACTGCTCCGGGACACGGCCCCCGGGGCTCGCCGAGATGTGCTGGATGGGGTGGCGTTGGCAGTATCAAAGTAACAAACCCCACAAAGGTGGTGTGGTGAGGCCGGAGAGCACCGTCCTTGATTTGAGAACGGTTGGGAGTGTTTGGTATGAGTTCATTTTCACCTGGACAAGCTTTTCCCCCACGTTATGCAGTAGGATTTCTGCTGTGGAGAGTTTGTGCTTTGTCCAGGAATGGCTGGAGCCTTAAGCTGTAGGTTATTGCCAGGCTGGAGCGATGGTCTGCTGGTGCGTGGGGCCCTGCCAGGACCACTGGTTTTGTGCAGAGCAGAACATGGGCAAGCCCTGATCCTGGGGCTGCTCGTGTGACTTCGCAAGTCATCATAATAAAATTGGTGGAATTGATTTTGTGGAAGTCCGGGTGAATTAAGAAATTATGATAGATTTGAAAAGCCTTAAAAGAGTGACTGTGCAACCCAGATCTCAGAAGAGGTATCTTTTTGGAAATGTTAAAGCCTCTGAAGAGTGGAAAATAGATTTGTCACCAGGCTGCATCCATCATGAATTCGCTATAGTGTGACAAGTGCAGTCATTATGCATTTCCATGTTTAATAAGTTTGTTTTCCTCTTCAAGAAGGGGAGCCCCTTCTTGCTACTGTTGTTTTAATGGACAAAATGAGTTTGTGACAGCAGACAGATAAAAAGCATTTTCTGAAATGTATGTATGTCTGACCAGTGTAAGTACAAGGTCAGAATAAATTTAGATATAAATGGAAAATACCATGTTGTTCAGCTGAAAAATGAAGTTTTGGTAACTGCAAAAGGTCAACACCCAGTTGTCCTTTTCCCATTTACTAGGCGGAGTAGTTTAATCTATCTTGACTTAAGAAACCTTCTGACTTACATTATTAAAGATCAAAATCCGGCTGATATGGGTCAAGATTTCAGATACCAAAAAATGTCTCAAGTCTTCCCTGACTTCACCTGTCTGTTGCCAGACACAAAGCCGTGTTAAATCATGTGGCAGAGTTTCAGGCTGCTGCCAGCATGCGGTCTAGACAAAAGCATGCCAGGAAGTGTGATGTGACCATCTTGTTCATCAGGTGGACTCTCACTACTGCCCCAGCTGCCTGGAAAACATGCCTTCAGCTGAAGCCAAGCTGAAAAAGAACAGGTAAGGTTGCTTTGACTTTTTTCATCAAGACTCCCTATTTTAAACAGCTCCTTCCTTAATCAACACCTGACCGTGTGTATCTGAAACTCTCCTCAAAAATTACATCACTTCTTGCTACCTGTTAGTCTGTTTTGGGGAATAAGAGTCTTTCCATGATGTATCGTGTGGTCTTCACGTTTTAGTTCTTTTGATGACCTGCTTTCATAATACGAAGGGCTTTTTAGTATCACCCAGTATTTCTCACTGTTGCAATTCTTACGTTGACTTTGAACCCCTCCTGTTCACATTGATGGCTCTGTTGCCCTCTTTCCCTAACACTGTTGCATAAGGTGAAAAGGTCTGTTAGTTTAATCTTGATTTTTTTGTTGAGAGCATTTTCCTTCGCCTGGGACCCTTGTAAGAGCGCTGTCTTATAAGCCTTCGTCTTTACAGGTGTGCTAACTGCTTTGACTGCCCCTGCTGCATGCACACCCTTTCCACCCGGGCCACAAGCATTCCTGCTCCGCTCCCTGACGACCCAGCCAAGACTACCATGAAGAAAGCGTATTACTTGGCCTGTGGATTTTGCCGCTGGACTTCCCGAGATGTGGGCATGGCAGACAAGTCTGTCGGTAAGTGACAGCCAAAGACAGAAAACTGAGTAACAGCAGGAGCCCAGATTGTGTTTTGACGGTAACAGATCATCAAATTAGTTTCTCACTGTACAATATACGTAATATCTGTCCAGGTTTTGAGTCAGAGTTGGAGATTCACAGGAAAATGGTTTGTTGCTGAAGTCTCCTCTGAAGAGCTGAGATGAGTTAGGGGAACGTTTGACCCACTTCCGTGCTTATGTTAACCTGACTAGTGAGAAAGCTGTCAAACAAGGGGCATTTTTAGTTGGTGCGCTCTCCCCACACTTGAGATCTTGTTTGTGTATCTTCAGAGACTTTGAAGCCGCTCAGTCTGACAGCATAAACATCTAATTTATTTTCTGTCACTTATGTTCACTTATTCCAGAGTTGCTAGGCAGTGTTTGTACTCGGTTTTTCTCTTCGTGACATCACTGGAACAAAGCTTTCATCTATTTCTTGGTGCATAAGACATGCAGAAAATATCTGTCGGGCTCCGGAAATGGGGCTGAGTAGATCAAGCAGATCCTTTGACTTCCAGTGTTGATGTGACTGAAGAATTAGAGCTGAAGATGTGGGGACATGGGCAGCCAGTAATAAGAGATGGTTCTTGTAAACTCATGGACCTGCTGCTGAAGTGACTCCTAGGTGCTGTCCTGATTATTTCTCAAACAGCAGTTGTTTAAAAACACAGTATAAAAGCTGGTAAAGAGCCTTCAGCCCAAGTCTGCCTGTGAAAAGCTTTCAGAGGTGTGCATTTGTGCAGGCTTGAACTTAAGGAGTGGCAATGGTAAGTGTAGCAAAAATAGGGAATGTCATATTTCATGAGTAAAACTGAGATAGTTGGGTGTTAGGTGTGATTTCTTTGCAGAGTCTGGAAACCTTCTCCTGAGGACTTTGTTTTTTCTCTTTCTCGTGCAGCTAGTGGTGGCTGGCAGGAGCCGGAGAATCCTCACGCACAGAGGGTGAGTGAAGGGGAAGGCCGTGCTTAGGCTGAGATGCATCAGCTAGAAAAAGCTGTTAGAGGCGCCAGGCCTTCTCAATGACTTTTTCTGCATCTATGTAATCCTTCAGATACCAGTTCCAGTTCCTAATCTCCACCTTGACTGAATTAAATGGAAAGCCTCTTAGAGAGTCTCCCATGGATGTTGCAGTATAAAATCTCCTTTTCAGAAGAAACTCATTTGCAAACATCATATCTAATAGTGCTGTTAAAATGACACCAATGAATATGCTACATATGTATGTGAAAAAAAGCTGGTTTTTGACCAAGAGGGTGTTTAGGATCTGGAAAACAGAACTACACCTTTACTATCCTTCCCTGTCACCAGTTAGGGCTCTACACTAAATGTGATCAGCCTTGGGGGGGGGGAAGATGCTGTTTGCTCCACTAATCCAAATTGCTTGGTTTTGGCCACGTGACATTACTGTGTCCAGTCATGGCAGATCCGTGAACAAAGTCTCAGTTGCCTAACTGCACAGTGAGAGTTGGACACTGCTTTCTGATAGATGTCAATCCCAAAGGAGGGTCAGTTTGTCACCCGCAGTGGGAGTTAAGACACACAGGTTTCCTTAATGTATATCCTTCAAAACACAGCTAGTACTAGGATCAGAGTGAAACAAGTAGCAGGAGCCCCAGCTTGTTCACAGACAAATACTGCAGCTGGTCTGGCATTTGTTCCTTGTTCACTGGGTATCCGTTCCTTTTCATCCCTCTAGATTAACAAACTGGTTGAGTACTACCAGCAGTTGGCTCAGAAAGAGAAGATCGAGCGGGACCGGAAGAAGCTGGTGCGACGCCGAAACTACATGCCCCTGGCCTTTTCGGTGAGCTGGGAGTACTGTGCTCTCAGAGCAGGACAAGTGATGGACAACAGCCTCGTCTTGAAAGATTAGATAGTTGGTAGCACCATAGGGCTGCTCAGGGTTTTTTTTATTGAGAACGTGAAGAAAATGTGCTAGGGCACATGGGTTTCTTTAGGGACAAGTAGTTTTTCACCCATTACTGTGCATTAGATTGCCTCTCTCTCTAATAGTCCTCTCTGATAATGCCAGAAAGGTTTACACTTGCCATGCAAAGGAACATGTTATCCAGCAGTGAAATGCAGTGCAACCGCAGTCACAATAGTGGTAGCTCTTTCTCAGGACAGTTGCATACCATGGTTCAGTAACAGTTAGATCAACATTGTCTGGCACTTTTCTGCATGAAGTCTCAACTGAAATTAACCTTAAGACTTGGTTGTGGCCTGAATGACTTGTTTATTGTAACTGGCAGGTAAATGCTTACTTTGTTTAGCTGGGTGACTCGGCATATGCTTGCTACTTCTCAATTAACTGTGCTTGCTCTGTGCCCTTGCTTGTGTCTTATGGCTGCATTTTTTGTCTCCGTTGCTACCTGCTGCTATTTTGGGGGCTCTCCACAGCAACACACTATACACGTAGTGGTAAGTCTTTTCACAGTTTCTGCTGGTGTTAAAGCTCTCATGATACCAACTGAAGGGGAGTGACAGATCCTACTCTTCACCTTGCCTCAGGGCCTCTGAGTTGGATGTGCCTAGAACAAACGCACATGAAGGCTAACTAGTTAGAGGGTAACATTTTTTACAAAGAAAATTCTTTTTTGTTAGCTTACAAACAGGGCAGTGTCTGGGTAAGTAGCATATGCTTGAAAAGCAGTCCTTCACAAAGCTCGGCTGAGACACAGCCATCTCTCTGCCCAAGGCAAATGGCACTAACATGAATCTTCTGATCCTTGAAGAATCACCAGGGTAGGCTGGTACTCAGATTTCTCGTTTGGTGAGAATTCAGGTTTTCAGTCGTGGCCAGAAGTACCCTGTGTACAGTTCAGCTGTAGAAAGCTGAGGAGTAGCTCAGCTGTTCCTGCCAATTGGTGGTGCCTGGTGAGATAGACCTGTAGATAACAAGGCTTGTAGGAGGCTGAACCTTCCAGCTGCTTCTAGTAGTGCTACAGAGCATTTCAGATGGATGCATACCCACAGAGACCCAGTTCTTTTGGCAGCTGAGCTCTCATTCTGCACTGCTTGATATGCTATTGCTCTGAAGAGAAGATCAAGGGAAAATGTGTCAGTAGTGCAGGCTAGTGATTTAAGGAAAGAGCAAAAGCTTTATAAGCGGTAGACACATACATCTGTATCTGTCTCTCCCTGTCTCCAGTGCAGTGGTAATTGTTTTCTCCTTACTAACAGTTTGAGCAGAAAAAAATCTTGGGAAGCACTGAATACCTTTCATTTTTTGCTTTCCTTTGCTTGTCTCCCTATGCTTGTCATGCAGCTCAAAGGATGAGTTTGCAGTAGGTCTTTTTGTCCTGGCAGGAAGCAGACCTGAAGCTGACAGTTCCTTTTTTCCTTGTAGGACAAATACGGTCTTGGAACCAGGCTTCAACGCCAGAGGCCCGGAGCACCGATCAGTGCCCTTGCTGGACTCTCGTGAGTCTCAGGGTTGGGGTTACCTTTGTGGAAAAGATAGGAGGTATAGGCAACAGAGCAATAAAGCAGCTTCAGAAGGATGATGAACCATATTCGCGGATAGCAGTGAAAGGAGCTTTCTTCTTTGCAGCATTAGAGATGTCAAATCCTCAGGCATCTCTGTGCAGCAGCTCCAGATGTTTTGCTTTCTCCTAGTAGAAGCAAGTGACTGCTCACATCCTTATGCAGTTACTATTGTCTTGCAATCTCAGCTCTCACTGCCTTCTGTGTTATAATGCAGTTAGTGCTGTTGCTGTCTGTCAGAGCACACGTACTACATTTTATGACCAAGTTGTCCCTCACTTTGCTTCAGCCTGAAAGAAGGAGAGGACCAGAAGGAGATCAAGATTGAGCCAGCTGATGCAGTGGAAGAAGTGGAACCTCTTCCTGAGGATTACTACACAAGACCCATCAATCTGACAGAAGGTAATACCTTAATATTCTGTCACTTTTTGCCCTTACATTTTATAACATAGACAGTGCCTGGAAACTTGTCTGTGGGGTTCCTATTGGCCCAAGATTTTAGTAATTTTTATGCTGGGATTGAAATGGTGGGAAATTTGTGACTTTTAAAACGGTAACTTTGAATGCAGCCTCAGGTTCATGTTGTACATGGAAAGCTCAGAGCCAAATACATCAGGCCTCTTAACGGTTGTTTCATTTTCTTGCTGACCTTAATTTCTCTGCATGTGAAGTGTCAGCTTTTGGATGGAGAAAAGAGCTGATGTCCTTGTTCAAGTAATAGCTGGAAATAAGGAGGTAGCTGAGCTGCTGTGGAGTTGGAGCCAAAACTGACCTGTGAAGTAACAATTGCACATTACTTTTGACATCAGCTTATAACAGCTTGCATATGCTTGCCAGTTATTTAGCTGGCTCATGATTTAATCAGCAAATATTGTAAAATGGTCAACTAAACTTGGGAGAGAACAGGATAAAACAGCAGGTACAGAAAGCAATGTGGACTTTCTGCTGAGGTGGCTCTAAGTAGGACAGATGTTCTTGATAGTCCTGCAGGCCTACAAAGTCCGCCAATATTAATTAATTCATGAAAGGTTTATGGAAAGGAGTAGATAGTCTTTGTCTCATTTTCTCATGAGACTGTCAGCATTGTGAGAGTATGATGCTGGTAAAGACAACTTTTGTGATTCTCTGCAGTGAGGCAGAGGCTGCCAGGTGGCTCACTGCCTCTTAGACACTGGGAACAGTGAGGAGCCTCTTTTTTTGGGAGAAGCCCATGGGAAGTTTGGCTGCTGGGAGTTCTTTGCCTCAGGAACTATGTAGTCACCAAGTCTCTGCATGAGTCTGAATTACGCAAACTCCTTGCTTGAGAAGCTGTATATTGTACTCGTGCAGCATCCAGCTGTGAGGGTAACAAAGCCATGAAAACGCATTAGCCCTTGGGGGAGGAAAGAACTTATTTTCTAGATGATTACAAAATTCTGTTTCCACCTCATCTGAACTTTGAATAGAGATCAGGGTCCCTTGTTTCTCCTGGGCTGGCACTGATGTTGCTGTCGTGTTACCGTGTCCAGTCAGGGCAGCCCTTTATACAACTCTTACTTTCATTCATTCACTGCTAGAAACAGCGACACTTGCCAGTGGCTTCTGAATTATTGGGTGCGGGTGAAATTCAGTTTCTTAGATTGTAGCATGTCTGCACACAGTGCACGGCATGCTTGCTCTTGAGCCAGCGCATATGTAGAATCTAGCTCAAGTTCCATGTCTGAGTGCGACGTTAATTTGTCTTGCTTTCTGCTGTGCACCCAGTGACGACTCTGCGTCAGCGTCTGCTGCAGCCTGACTTCCAGCCGATCTGTGCTTCCCAGCTCTACCCACGTCATAAGCACCTCCTGATCAAACGTTCACTGCGCTGTCGGGTAGGTAATTAAGTACAAAAAAGTGCTTTTTCTAGGCTCACAGAAATTGGATTGTGGGAAATGGGCTGTGTATTTCTTTTTAGAAGAAACTGCTCAAATGCTTCTGGTGTTGGAAGTTCTCAACCAAATTACTGGTAACAGCACTAGGAGGTGAGGGAGGCTGTCGCATTTCTGACATGATGAAGATTGTGAAAGGGGGACAACTTTGTCAAAGATGCATAAAGATAGAAAGGTGGGTTTGCGTAAGGGTCTGTGTGCTCTGCCTAGCCAAAGAATCGTAGAAGTCTGCCAGTACAGTCAGAATTTAAAAATTTCTGCTATTAGTGAAGACAAAAATCAAAGCGAGCAAACAAAATACTAGTGAGAGGCAGTGCAGAATACTGAAGATGCCCTTAGAGTGAAGGCAGAAAGAGAATATTTCAAAGAAAATTAGAGAGCTGGGAAGTGAAGATAGGCAAGAATTAAATCCAAGTTCTGCTGTTGGCTTACTATGTGGTCTTCAAAAAGCTGCTTGTTTTCTCAGTGAAACAGGGATATTTATCTAGTTCCCAGGGTAATAGAGCAATATTCTTGTAAGTATTTAAGATGCAGAATGGTTTGCAAATGCAGAATATTTTCTCAGAAATCTGTAATATCAGGCTGAGCCTATATTTGAAAGTAGCATGTGAGGAGGTCAGTCCTGAGTTCCAGCTGTTTGGTTTTTTTAATGGATCCTGGAGCATAAGTCAAAGGGCTTGCAGTTATTTGTGCCTTCTTCCTCCTGCAGTCAGTGAGTGTCCAAGTATTTTTAAGCCAGATTCCAAATTCCGTGTTTCTGAGATTACACTGATGTTGCTGGTTACAACATCTTCAGAGTATCAATAACTTGACAAAACAATGGCTACATGCACGCCAGGGTAGTTTTTGTCTGCACTGTGCTAGAGGCCAGTAGTGCCGTGGCTAGTGGCCCAGTGCTTGCAGCTCTGATTCTTTGGTTTGGGACTGCACACTGTCTTTGTGTGCTGACTAAAATATCTTTGTCTCTAGAAATGTGAACATAACCTGAGCAAACCAGAATTCAATCCAACATCTATCAAATTCAAGATCCAGCTGGTTGCTGTGTAAGTAAGATATGGTACTGGGGAGAACAACCACCTATCCATGCTTAGTTAATGCCTTCTATTTTCATTTCTTTTGTTCTCTTGATTTGACCTCCTGTGTGATTGTGTCATCTCTTAGGATGGCGTAATCACATTTTTAATTTATGCAGCTTATCCATAGTAGGTTTGCTCCCTTATCTTCTAAAAAGTTTGCTGAAGACTTCAGCAGTTTGAAAAAGACATTGCATGCTGTAATCCCCACACAGTATCAGGAGTTTGTAGGATTAGGCTTATACAGCAAAAGGACACTTCATTTTAATGTAAGCTAAGCTCTAATAGCATTGAACAAGTTAGCTGGATGTCTGTGAAGACATCCCTCTACTTCAAGAGGTAGGTTATAGACAGCAACACAGTCCATCATGGTCATTTGCTTTGTTCTTGTTGTAGTAACTATATCCCTGAAGTGAGAATCATGTCTATTCCCAACCTGCGCTACATGAAGGTCAGTACTTTTTTCCGGAAATGTCTTAGCGTGAGACACAGCCGGGAGGCGTGGATGTGGGATCTTTCTGGAAGATGACATGGTGTGATGATTGCTGCCTGAGGGCTTCGCTTGCTCCATTTAGAGAGGGTGCAGGGTTTAAGGGAGTGGTCAGAATTACACTGCATGTACTTGTCACTCTGAATGAGTAGATTACTGTGCAGTGTGACATCTGGCATCACAAGCATACACCAATATCTGAAGAATAAAAGGTGTGGAGTTGAGATCCTGGCTAGATTCCAAAGATGTCTATTACTTACATTAAGAAAGAGTGCTACGCATGGCATTGGCACCTTTCTTACAGACTGGGGGTGTTCGCTATCCGTCCTTTGAGTGTATGTGGTGCAATTTTTGAAGATGTTGATCAGTCACAGAAGCTGGAGGTGCTAACAGTAACAATAAATTTTAGAGAATTGCTTCTTAAACTGTGATTCCTGAATCTCCCCAGGAGAGCCAAGTCCTTCTGACTCTGACCAATCCAGTGGAGAACATCACACATGTCACGCTGCTGGAGTGTGAGGAGGGAGACCCTGACAACATCAACAGCACTGCCAAGGTATTGTGCCCTCCTGCTGTGCAAGTCCAAGCCTCTTCAAAGGCTTTCCACTCCCGTTTATCCTTCCACAGATCACACTTTTCATATGTCCGTCAGTGTCTGCTAACTGCATTGCATTTTCCTCCTTGGAGCTTAAATGACTATCACCAGTGTAAACATCAGATCATAAAGTGTTTTGAAATTGTATCTTTTCATTGAGATCCAGAACCCAAGGGAGAAATACACAATTTCACTGGTAGAGTGGTAACCGGGTGGTACTGGTGTGGTTTCCTCCACAAAAGCCCAGGATGAATCACTTCTCTGTTAAACCATAGTAAAGCAGCCTTCAGAAGGGGAGGGCTCTCTCCTGCTCACAGTGTAGGTGGTGATCAGTGCTGAAAGGCTTCTTCTCTTCCTGTTCTGTTTCAGGTGACAGTTCCTCCCAAGGAACTTATTTTGGCTGGTAAAGATGCTGCGGCGGAATACGATGAGCTGGCAGAGCCTCAAGATTTCCAGGATGACCCTGAGTGAGTGTTGTCTGTCCTGTGGGGATCCTGTCCCTTAAAAACTTGGCACTTCAACCAAGTAACTCATGCTCCTCTGTGTCTTCAGCATGTTTGGGGGCTTCTTTTTCAGGTTTTCTTGGGAGGGGGGGTGGTGGTGGTTCGGGGGAGTCGGAGATCAGCAATGCAAATCTTTCTGCTTGTGGTTTGGACTATTCAGGAGACATCTGTTCCCTTTGAGGCAAGGTGTGCTGTTACAGCAGTTGAGTTGTAGGTGGTGGTACTAATTCTCTCCAGAATACTCTGTGTAATCCTTTCCTTTGCAAGCAGAGGGTTCATGGTAGCGGTGAGAACTACACAGTAGGGTGTGTGACAGAGCTGCCTCCAGCCTTCAAAATGGAGTATGTTCTGCAGCATCTTACAGAGCAACTTGAGCAATATGCTGTGGCCCTTCTTTGTTGCACTGCTGGGTACATAACTCCCATGCAGGCATGTTCTGTTTGACAGATGTGCCAGCAGCTGTCAGCATAAAGGGGGGCACCCACATTCTGAATGTGGGGCAGGAGGGGCTGTGGGCCCCCTGCAAAAAGAACAGCAGGGAGTAAGCTACAAACCAGGGCAGCTGTTCTAGCAGGACGCATTCAGCTCACGGGCCGTAAACTGAGCATCCCTCTTACGTGGTGTCAGAATAAATCTCTCAGAACAATTGTTTGAGAACTTGGCTGACCCAGTGTTCTTTTGTTTTCTGCCTTGCAGCGTTATTGCCTTCAGAAAAGCCAATAAGGTAGGAGTTTTCATCAAGGTCACCCCACAGAAAGAAGAGGGTGAAGTGACCGTGAGTTTCAAGATGAAGCATGAGTTTAAAAACCTCACTGCTCCAATCCGACCCAGTGAGGAAGGCGATCACACCTCTGAGGTCATCTGGCTCACCCATCACGTGGAGCTCAGCCTCGGTCCAGTGCTCCCATAAACGCTCCCAACGCTTGCGCCCCGATGGTTGGCCGCAGCATGGACTGTCACAGTGAGGAAAGCACCTGGTGAAACGTTCTGTGAGAGCTCCTTTGTGATGTGTGGGTGTGTGCCACGGGCCCCAGCTAGGCCGCGAGAGGCAGCTGAGGGTGCCGTGGTTTGGGATGGTTTGTTCTCTCTCCTCTTGTCGTAGTGCCCACTAAATACCGCTCTGCTTCCCCACGCTGCCACAGGCTAGTTTAACTTGCAGCACATGTTTCAGCACAGAGAAAGATGTTGCTTTCTCCAGATTCGCACTACACCTGGCTGAATTTGGTTTTATCAACAGAAAAGAACCCATATTGGTTTTTCTTCATGTCAGCCCACAAACCTGATGTTACATACTCAATAGCGAATGACTTCTTTTTCACACAGAGCTATGCCCTTCCCAAAGAAACATTTTAAGAGGTGGCCACATCTGCTGCGTTATTGGCAAGTTATTGGCAGCAGCATGATGCTTTCTTTTGGTTTTCTGCTTCCTCGTAGGATACCTCAGCTGTGGGTGATTGGGACATACAACCCTACCACTCTGGCATGCATAGCTTGCGTAGCCAAGGTGATAGATCTGTTTTCACAAAGGAAATGATCAGTTTGCCTTTAAACCGAAAACATAGTGTACTGTAGTGTTCATGGATTTGACTGGCAACCGAGCCCACTGTCAGCCCGCTGCATTGCAGGTGGATGTGGTAGCATGACGTGCTGCGAGCTGGGAATTCAGGTTCTGCCACAGCTCTTGACTGAGGCAGGGATGCTCCAGAGAGGCTGCCTGGCAGTCTTCAGATCAATTAATGTGTGTTAATAGGGGTAGCGATCAGGGTATGAAACCTGGAGAGTTAAGATTAGGTCTGGTATATGTAAAACTACAGAGGCTGTTTGAGTTCATACTCTTGTCTTTTTCCAGTTAGGGTGGGTGGGAGGGAGGTATAAAGGTGGGAAGACAGTTATACGTTAACTAGCATACACTGTACCATGAGGTAATCTATCTGGGGTATAATTTGGCTGTAGTCCAAGCTAAAATCAGTAATTAAGAGCAGTGTATCCAGGGTACTGAATTACCAGTAACTCCATAGCTTAGTGCAAGCGGGTGAGATCGCTCTTCCTGCAGAGCATTCCCAGTTCAGACATTGACCTTCGTTAAACATTTCTGATGGGCTTTGATGTGCTGCTGTGCTGGGAAAGGCTTGAATCCCAGCCAGCCGCGGTTGTGTTGCTCGAGACACTTGTGCCATGGTTCTGCCAGCCTGGAGCTGCAAATCCTCTGCACGGGAGGGCGGGACGAGGCTGTCCACTCTCCCGGGGAGGTGGTGGTGCAGCACCCAAAAACATCTCCCGTAGCACGAGAAATCTGCCTTGGTGTGCCGGGGGGGACCGCGCGCCTTACAGCCTAGATCCTGCAGCGGGTCTCAAAGCGGCCGAGGCATCACGTTTACAACTTCGCGTAGGTTACACACAGTTGTACAGCATGAGTTTAAGACTTGTAGTTCGTCGTTAATGTCTAGTGCTAGCGCCTGCTGCGGCTTTACCTGTCCAGATAACAAAGCACTTAACCTTTGGCTGTGACTTCTTTTCAGTAGCTGAAATAGCCGCTACATTCACAACACTAATGTGGAAAAGAGCCTTCCAGGGACAAGATGGCGGCTGACCGAGGCCTCGAGCTGCTGTCCCCCTCCGGCGCTGGGCTGGTGTTTGCACGACCTGCTCATGAATGCTCGGTTTCTCACTGAAAACAAAAAGCTGCGTTGATTTATGATATTCTGAGCGGTCTAATTAGCTCGGTGAGGTTTGGGTTTTTTTCCTCCCCTCCCCGTAGGTGCTTGTAGGTGATAGGAAAGGTGTGTCCCTGCTCCCCTCCCTGACAGGCGACTGTTGCCTTACTGCTTGACGTCGTGTAGTGACCTTCAATAAAGCAAACGTGGCTCTCGGATTCTTTGCGCTGGTTCTTACGCTGCGGTTCATTAGAAAATAATTATTTAAAAAAAAAAAGCGCTAGCACCCAGCCCCCCCGTTTTCCCAATGGTTTCGCCCGTCCCCCTGTTCCCGGTGGTTTCGCTCGCTCCGCCTATCCCCGCCCCTTTGGCTGAGCTCTATGGTTTGTCGTGCCTAGAGCGCCCTGCGCCCTGGTACGTGCCTCGGACGTCATGGCATCGCCACACGCTTCCCCGTCTCGTCGCTAGCGGAAGTGACATCACCGTCGTCTTCCGCCGCCTGCCGGGATCCAGGTGGAGCGGCGCGGAGGACTTCCGGCGGCGGAGCGGAGCGGAGCTGGGGCGCCGCCGCCGCCGCCGCCATGTCGACATCGCTGGGCTCCAACACCTACAACCGGCAGAACTGGGAGGACGCGGTGAGCCCGGAGGACGGTGGGGGAGAGGCGGGGCGGGCCCTGGCCGGCGGGGCCCTGCGCTGCCGTGAGGGGAGAAGCGGGGGAGAGCAAGGCCGTAGGGCGAGGGGTGCGCGGTGAGGCGGCCCTCGGGGCTGGGCGGCGGGCGGGGACCTGCCCTGGGGAGCTGCGTCCCTGCGGTTGTGCCCCCCCCCCCTGTCGGGGAGGGGGCTGCCGCGGTTACCTGGGTCCTCCTCATGGGCAGCGCTGTCTGGAAAAGCGGGAGTGATGGTCTGTGCGAGCCCCGTCTCCCTGCCGGGGTTTGGGGTGTCTGGTAGCCGGGGAGGTCTCCTGGCAGCCGGGAGGGCTGAGCTGGGCCCGTCGTGTGCCCGTGGCCGCGTCCCTTAGAGCTGAGGCCTTTTCTGGGTGGTCCCAGTGCAAACAATAGGTGCTAAGGGATAACGGGGGTGGTGGTGGTGTCATCTGCTGCCGTCAGGTCGCTGAAGAGTTAAGACCTCAAAAATACACACTTTGTTTGCTCTGAGTTTTACTTCGAATTGGAATAGCTAGCAGGTCATGGTTCTTTGATAATATGGGCATTGGGTGGTGGCTTGCAGCTCTCCCAGTGATTCTTTTTGAGTGAGTCTTTTTGCATCTTTCAAACGGTGTGATTAGTTTAACTCAGTAGTGTTGGTTCAGAGTGTGATTTGAATGCTGTTGTGATGATGGAGTTTGTGCAAATTCCTGATTTTCCTTGTTCTTGCTCAATTCAGGACTTCCCTATTCTCTGTCAGACATGTCTTGGAGAAAACCCATATATTCGAATGGTATGTGCCTGTTTGACTGCGCAGTCTTTTCCTCTGTGTTGGCCCAAGAACTGTTGGGTTTCGGGGACTAAAATAAGCCTGGTTACAGGAGGAGATGTTGAGGTGGACGTGCCCTCCTAATTAGTTGGTTCTGCACAACAGCATTTGGGTCCAGCCATTGTTGGTATGTGGTATCGTGGCATTAAGTATGTGATTTAAGAATAAATCAGTCAAAAAGGAGAACAAGATGATCCAGTCTAATGTCTAGAGTGCAGGACATAGTAGAAAACAAAGCTTTGGTACTGGTAAATCGTGCGACATGGAGAACAGCGAGGTGCTGAAATATTAAATAGCTTGGCACAATTTCTAAAATGAGAGACTATGCCCCTGTAAAAATAAGTTAAAACTGTCTTAAGGAGGCTGCCTGGTGGTAATTTAAATCCTTCTTTGTTTACCTGGGTTTCCTCTGTGCAGGATGAGTCAGTCCATTTTAAGTTGCTTTTCTCTCTGCTCAGTCCAGTTGCCTATGACCTACATTTACATTATCTTTCCTTCACTTTTCTATTCCACCAAGTTTGCTGAGAGAGATCACAATATTTTTGTGAAACATAACACTACTGCTGGTATAGGTGATGTTTCAAAACCTGCTTATTTTCATGGACTTATTTCATGTATCATCATCTTTGCTTAAAAATAGCTATTAATATTCCATTTCATTTTTGCCTTTCATCAGTACATGAGGTGGGACTTAATGGTACTGTGTTTTTAATGAATGTTTCTAAAACAAAAATGGATTGAGAGTTTTTTAGGATTCTTTTTGTCCTGTTGACCAGCCAAGTTGTGAGCCCAAAGCACAGGGGTGGGTGAGTCTAAATGCAGCATAACTAGGAAGAAAGCACTGTGCTTTACAGCATCAGTGATATGGTTCATGTTTTGTGTTGAATTGATGGTATTTCATATTTTCTTTTATTGTTTTTTATTTATATTTCAGACCAAAGAAAAATATGGAAAAGAATGCAAGGTATGTTGTTTGTCTAAAAGAATGAATGTCTAAATTGGCACACATCTAGGAGTAATTGATTTTAATGTTAAAAAAACCTGTCAGCTTCAGGAAAGTGCTTATCTGGGTTAACAACTTAAAATGTTTATGTAACTATATAAATTTTTAGGTCAGTCTACTGTGTGCTTTGTTAGACAAAGTCAGTTAGTCTTAAAAAAATTAAGTAAAATTATTGAAGACTATTCAGACAGACTTAGGATTTGCTTATGTGTATCAGAATTAGGTTTTGCAAATATTGTTGTACTATATTTGAAGGTATTTCAGCATTTTAAATTATCTCATTTTCTCTTGCAAGTTTTGGTTTGGTTTTTTTTGGGGGGCTCGTAAGTGGTACATAAATAATTGGAGTTTAGGTTTTGCCATGAATATTTTATTCATGGCTATGTGGTGATTTGTCTTAGCCGTCTAAAAAATAAGCCATGTTTATTTCTGAGAGAGCAAGAAATATTTAGTGTTGTGGTGACTGAGGGAAATTAAAGGAGGGGGTTTTGCCCCTTTTATCAGTTGTCATCTGAGGTAAGGAGAAGGTATGTGTTGAAATCTTGCTTCCCTTCCTCAAACTGTACATGCAGTGGAAGCAGATGCATCATTCCACCAGATAAGATAGAGAGCAGTAGTCGTCTTCTGGACCAAAAGTCTCATAACCTCTCACTGGGCTTGCTGCTATGCTGGTGACTGGTCTACAGATAACTGGTAATTTATCTCTAAAGCTCTATACTGACATCACCTGGAATGAAGGAGAATTTCTTTTTCCTTTGAGTAGATCTGCTTTCAGCATTTGGGTTATTGTAATAAATTAAAAGAAGAAGAAAAAACCTTCCTAAAACTTTCTCCTGTCAAAGTAAGGCACCAAATAGAAACAAATGTTTCCTAAGGTCTGGATCTTAGCACTAAGATGAAGAAGTTGTATTTATGGTTTAAAGAGATTGGATGTGTTTGGACTTCAAGTTGTGTCCAAGAACCAGAATGGTAACTTCATTGCTGTGTGATAGTGATACAAGCGTCGACTTTCTGTCTTTCAGATTTGTGCCAGGCCTTTCACAGTATTCCGCTGGTGCCCTGGTGTTCGTATGCGTTTCAAGAAAACAGAAGTATGCCAGACATGCAGCAAGCTGAAGAACGTCTGTCAGACCTGTCTGCTTGACCTGGAATATGGTGTGTACCAAAAAATGTAAACTAGGAGAAGAAGCTGGTCTACTTGCCTCTGAAATGAAAGTTGGTGAAATGTCTTTAAATGTGTGCGTGTAATTGGCACGGTTGTCTCTGGACAGTCTTTGAGAAGAATAACTCTTGATGATCACACCTTTTCTGAGGTTCAGGGGCAGCGTGGTATACCTGAGCAGTAGATGAGTTATCCCTGGCTAATGCAGGTTGCAGTAACTATTTCTGCTGTTTCAGCTTGTGCTTCATACAGATTTGTTGGGGGGTTGTTTTTTTTGTTTGTTTCATTCTAGGTTTGCCTATTCAAGTCCGGGATGCAGGACTCTCCCTTAAGGATGAAATGCCTAAGTCTGACGTCAATAAAGAGTACTACACCCAAAACATGGAACGAGAGGTAAGAAAGTATAGTTGTAATCATGCTCTCTGTGTGTGGATGTGTATAGGGGAAGAAAGGGGAGGAATGATCTAGCTTATCTTAAAATCATTTGCTTGCTCTGATTCTGTACATTAGTTTTCAGTGGTGATATATACATAATTATTTGTGTTTTCACTACCATTTAGATATCCAATTCTGATGGCACAAGACCAGTTGGTGCACTAGGCAAAGCTACTTCCACCAGCGACATGCTGCTGAAGCTGGCTCGGACCACTCCTTACTATAAACGTAACCGTCCTCACATCTGTTCCTTCTGGGTAAAAGGAGAATGCAAGAGGGGAGAAGAGTGTCCCTACAGGTACTGATACAGCTTGAACAGTTAATCTCTTCATCACGGTCAGATACAGCTCCCCTTGGGGTTTGAAGAGCAGGAAATGCTGCAGTGGACAGGAGACGCACACTGTGATTGGGGTCAGTGTGAAACTTGCATTCAGTTGGCACGCAGGGCCAGTGAATGAATCTTTGTTGTGGCAAGTTCGTTTGTGAGGAATTAGCTGCGTGGTGTCGTAGTGTTTTGCTGAAGCAGTGACTCCAGCTCTTCTCTTGCATAGTTCATTTTTTCCCTTCATGGCGTCAGTCCCCTCAATCAGAGATCTTTGTATTTGAACAAGAGGCCATTTGAAATCCAGCTCTCGTATTTTGTAGTGTTGAATGCTGAGCTGTCAGAAGTGCCATTCATTCAGAACTTGAGGCAGTCCTGGCTGCAATTTAAGTTCTTGGGGCTTTTTGTTCCATTTTGGCATGTTTATGTGAACAGGGTTAAGCATATAAGTGACCAGGGGCCTTTAGAAGGGAAGGTCGCAGTTATAGTCATTTTAATCTGATGCAGCTGTGACTGGTGTTATGCTTTGTTTGCTGAACTTTAGGCATGAGAAACCTACAGATCCAGATGATCCTCTGGCTGATCAGAACATCAAAGATCGTTACTATGGAATTAATGATCCTGTGGCCGATAAACTTCTGAAACGAGCGTCAACCATGCCTCGTCTAGACCCCCCTGATGACAAGACTATTACTACACTGTATGTTGGAGGGCTTGGAGATACTATCACTGAATCAGATCTCAGGTGTGTGGTGAATTTGTATTGCCCTTGCCTTTTTATTTGATGCTTTGATTACTGCTCATCTTCAAGTGAGGAAATCTCTCTTGCAAGGAAAAAAATAAACCTAGTTTTCTTTAACGGGGAACTGGTTGGTGGGCAAGTGCAGAGGAGTGCCAGCTTGTTGGAGAACAGATAAACAGGCACATTTCAAATGCTTTGATTAAAATTTCTCTCTTTAAAGATGAGTCATCCTGAGCTGTTGGGGATACTGTGTTACACTTTTTACAAGGAAGTCCTATAGCCTCTCTCTAGCTAGCTGCTGAGAAAAGCTGCTGCAGAGTTCTTATTACTCCATAATTGCACAGAGGGGCAAGAGATTTGATTTCTAATGGTTAGTCTGTACTGGTGATGGAGAAAAGAAAGGATCTGGGCATACCTGTTTCAGCACGTGATGAGATCCTACTCTGCTATGTGCCCTGCAGCTAGGAGGAATGGGGTTTCATAATAATTTTTTTTTTTTCCCCCACACAGAAATCACTTCTACCAGTTTGGGGAGATTCGGACAATAACTGTAGTGCAGAGACAACAGTGTGCTTTCATCCAGTTTGCCACCCGGCAAGCTGCAGAAGTGGCTGCTGAGAAATCCTTCAACAAACTCATTGTCAATGGTCGCAGGCTCAATGTCAAATGGGGAAGGTGAGTGCGGAGGAGGAAGCCTTGAGGATACTGCCACAAGGTTCTTCACTTATTTTATGCGGTCCTGATGAACAGGATTGCATATTATGCTGGAGTAGATACTGATTTGGTAAATAGTTGAGGTCATCTTACAGTTTGGTTTTCTTTCAGCAGTGGGATCTGGATTGGAGATTACACAAATTGCACAATTTGTGTAAAGGATTTCCTGGTTGAGGCTTATGGATGAGTTTCTGTGGTTTTGCTTCTAATCTGTCTCCTGTAAGCATTGTTTGCACACTTTGTACCAGCTGTCTCTGATGTTCTGTGGATTTTTCATCTTTGGCCTGAAGCAATGGATCTGGATTAGATAATGTGAAACTATCGTAGTGTGACTATCTGCTTATCCTGCTTTTTCTCATCCTTGTTCTCAAACTCTTGTCTGGTTTTTAGGTCCCAGGCAGCAAGAGGAAAAGAAAAGGACAAGGAAGGTACTACAGAATCTGGGATAAAGCTGGAGCCAGTTCCAGGACTTCCCGGAGGTAAGGGAGTTGTTTTCATCTCTGAAACACTTAATGCTGACCTGCTTCCATGAGAGAGGCTGGTATTAAACCTCTCTGCTGGTTTTGGCTGGTATAGAGTTAATTTTCTTTTTAGTAGCTGGTATAGAGTTATGTTTTGGATTCAGTATGAGAAGAATGTTGATAACACACTGATGTTTTCAGTTGTTGCTGAGTAGTGTTTAGACTAAGGCAAGGATTTTTCAACTTCTCATGCCCGGCCATCAAGGCGGCTGGAGGGGCACAAGAATTTGGGAGGGGGCACAGCCAGGACAGCTGACCCAACCTGGCCAAAGCGGTATTCCATACCATGTGACATCATGCCCAGTACATAAACTGGGGGGAGTTGGTCTGGGAGGGATTGTTGCTCGGGAGCTAGCTGGGCATTGGTTGGCAAGTGGTGAACAATTACAAAACAAGTGACGCACAATGCATATTCCAATCCTTTTATTATTATTACTGTAATTATTATCATCACTATTATTTTCTTCCTTTCTGTTCTATTAAACTGCTCTTATCTCGTCCCATGAGTTTTAACCTTTTTCCTTCCAATTCTCTCCCCCGTCCCACTGGGTGGGGGGGGGGAGTGAGTGAGTGGCTGCATGGTGCTTAGTTGCTGGCTGGGGTTAAACTCTGAGAGCAGTAACAGAGTTCAGGATTGTAGAGGCACTAGTGAGCCCAGAGCAGTCAGTTACAGTAGATTTGCAGCAGATTCAGCTGGGATGGGAGGTGAGCTTTGTCTAGAAGCAAATTGTTGATGAAAAGAGAGTTCTTTATGTGATGAGTGAAAAGTTAAAGCTGAATTCAAGTTACCTAGGTCTCAGATACTGTCAACCCATGCTTTTCAAGGCTTGGTTAATGTTTTCCTGATCCGCTGAGCATTGTATGATGGAAAAAGCAAAGCTGGTTTCAGGTGAAGAAAAATGGTGACTGTTCTGGAGTTTCAGTGCAGTCCTGCTTCTTGCTCCAGTTCATAGGTGCAATAGTAGCAGCAGTTTGCCCTTGTGAAAGAACTGATTGTGTCTCCTCTCTGAAGGCAGATAACTGCATATCTTGACTAAGAGATTTTCTGTAACCACTGTGTACTTTTTCTGCAGCTCTCCCCCCTCCTCCAGCTGCAGAAGAGGAGGCTTCTGCAAATTACTTCAACCTACCTCCAAGTGGCCCTCCAGCCGTGGTTAACATTGCCTTGCCACCTCCTCCTGGCATTGCTCCGCCACCACCTCCAGGTACTTGTGTTTCCCCTTCAAGAGGGGGTGTCTAACTTGGTGTTAGACCATCTAGTCCTCCTAGTTCTCCTTGCTCAGCTGCGCTGTAGTGCTGATGCATGCCCTGAGTTGATTTTCCTCATCCCTGGTCATACAGTGTAAACTGATGATCTGAAATGAGCTGTCAGCACAGTTTAATTAAACTGAGCTGCCTATTGTGGTATGTATTCACTTGCAAATTCTCAGGCATGTCAGAGATCCCCGTTACTGGTACTGAGACCTACTCAGTGCTTTTGCGGGCTGTGTAAATCCCACGTTAACCTGAACTTCAAAAGGTAATTCTGCAGCTGGTTGAATGCCAGCCTGTGTTTGGCTGTGTGTATATATCTGTCTGGAGACCCTTTTTTTTATGGGACATCAACTCTTGTGGATGTATTTGCTTTGCTCCATGGTTGAGCAGAGAGCATTTAGATTGGCATTACAGACATTTGTCCAGTCACGCAACTAGCTTTTATCTGCAAGTAAGGATGTGTGTTGGGAAAGGTTTGCCTGCAGTTATACTGGAAAGAGGGGGAGGTGTTTGGGGATTTGAAGAACCAGGGGAGATGTGCACCTTTCTGAGGCACAGCTGTGAGCCAGCTGTTTTCTGTCAGTAGTTTCAGGCAGTAGTATATCTGCATGGGTTGTTCTGTTGCTTTGTCTGAAGCTGCCAACTTTGTTTCAGCAGGTTTCGGACCACACATGTTCCACGCCATGGGGCCCCCGCCTCCCTTCATGAGAGCCCCAGGCCCCATTCACTACCCCTCTCAAGATCCCCAGAGGATGGGTGCCCACGCGGGAAAGCACAGCAGCCCCTAGCAGGTCGTGCCACCCTCATCATTTAAGTAAATATTATTTTCTAGTTACCATGGTAGCACCATATGTTGAGCTGTGGGTGAGCTAGAGAAGCCTTATTTCCCTGCTTGCAGACACTGGGCAAGCTGAGCTCCGTGTCTCCGCTAGCTAATCGGATTGTTGATACATCCCAGATCTTTCATTTAGTGTGGGGAGGGTTGGGAGGGGTGGGGGGCAGACAGAAGGGCTGTTGGGGGTCTGTGGATCAGGTGTACCAGAATTACAGTGCTATCCGTGTATCCTGTTTGCACACTTTTGAAATAAACTTCTGGAAAAATAAAACCAAACCCTTTTCAAGCCCATTTGATATGCTCAGTCTGAACACTATGGACTATTATACTGTAACCAGAGACTCTGTTACGTAACTAATGACTTATTATTCTAATGAGGTATTACACCAGGACTGAATAAGAGCTGAAAAACAAGCTTATCAGATGTGCCAAACCCATGGCTTTGCCTTACTATTGTCACAGAATTTTCCTTCCTCCTTTTTCCTAACTTCTTGCTTAAAAAAAAAAAAAACAACTTTTGTTGATGCTTCACTTCTAATCCTGCATGGCCGGAGCAAGATAAGTGTTAGGTCACGTGAGCAGCCCCTGGCTAGTGCAGGCGTGATGTGGAGTGACCATTTAGCAGTTGCCAGTTTTAGCCTGGTGAAGGCCCCCTCGGTGGCCCCCAGAGGCTGGGCTGGTGTTGCTGACAGCTGCAAGGGGAGGACGTGGTGCAGCTGCAAGCTTGTCTGGGGTATATTTGGAGCATGACTGGGGCTTTGGAGGCCTGTGGATACAGTCTCCTCTTAAACTGTGAGATGGATCCCACTTCGTCCTGCTTTGATAAGACCTGAAACTTTTCTTTCTGTGCTCCAACTATAGTGTTTGCCCAGGAGCAACTGTGTCCTGCATCGAGCCTGGCGTTGAGTAACATGTATGTACGTGTGGCTGCAGGATTTTGAGTGTATCTGTATGTCAGCTGCTTTCAGGCAATGGATCTGTGGACATCTTTCTGTAAAGCAAAACATGATGGGACCTGTTCTGAAGCTTCATTTGCTTGTTTAAAAAAAAACAAACACATTAAAATATTTGAATTTTTCAACACTTTGCTTAGACCCTGCTTCCTGGAGCACAGTGTCTGAGGACTTTGATTTTTATTTGGCTGCTGCCAAAGCCAAGATGCAGAGTGGGCAGTGACAGCAGGTTCACTTTTAGTTTTATGTGCTGTCCTGTACGATGCCACTGGGTCCCACTGATGCTGCCAGGCTGTTGGAGGTGGCATAGCATGTGGCACCAGGGGTATGGCTGGCAGGCAGATGGCTTTCTCTGCAGAAAGAGCTGGGCTTTGGGCACAGGTAATTAGTTTAGCTCTTGTCAGGCAAGAGCCATCCCAGAGCAGTGTTGGGGGACAGGCAGAGGCCTGCTGGTGCACAGGGGGAGGGCTGCAGCATTTGTCACTGCTCTGGCCCTGAGTCTCTGCAGTTGGGGCCCATGAGCGCTGTGCAGACAGATCTCAAATGCAAGCAGGGTTTACGTTATCGCAATTTATTTATTATTTCCAGCCAGGTCCCCAGGGGTACATGGCTTCTTCAGCTGATGGACAAAGGAGGAGAGAGATGGGTTTGGAACAGGACAGCAGTTGAGCATCATAAATTTTTAATGTTTAAGGAACGGACCCTTTTTCTTTCCATTTGCTTGTCCCCTCCTGCTTCTGTGGGAAGAACAGAGCAATGAAGGTTTACTGCCTGAACAGTGTGTTCCAGCAGCAGAATCCCTGTGTGGGATTTGCTCTGCGCATCTGTCTGCACAGCATTACAAATACACCTCACAAGTGAGGCAGCTGTTAACTGCATTTTTACCACAAAATTTACTTGCCTGATTTAACGACAGTAGTGGAAAAAGAAACTTTTATCCTGATGCTCCTGCTTTTGCAAGATTAAATAAGGGTAACATTAAGAACCTGACGAAAGCAATTATAGAAAGCCTGTGTTAAGAGATTTTTGTTAGCAGTTAGCAGGGTTTTCCAGACGTTCTGATGACTGTCCTATAGACTGTTGTTAGCTGCATGTCTCACTGTGTGTCACTGCTGAAAACATTTGTGTAGCTGAATCCTCACTGCTGATTTTTGCATTCACGGAGAAGCCCGTGCTTGCTCTGGAGTCACGGCTGTGCTGCTTTTCCTTCCCACTGATGTTGAAGTTACCAGAATACCCTAGCAGTATCTTCAGACCGGTGCAATTCTACAGTGCAGCAGGTCCAGGCAAGGCCTGATCCTTATTGACCAACTATATGAAGCAAACCTGGCGTAAGTCAATCAAAGGGCTTAGGTGTTTAAGCAAGGCATGCAAATAGCAGTAGGGAGGGGAAATTATCAGCTGCCAAGTGCTAGCCAGTAGCTTGTGGAAAACAGGGCACAAGTTTCCAACTCCCAACATTTTTCTCTCGTGTATCCTGGTTGTGCTGTGTTGGTAAACAGGCAGATGCCAGTTCCTCATTTGTTTTTGTTGTCCAGCCAAGCCCAAGGTAAGTGCTTTTAACATGCCAATGCCTCTGGTAAATTGTTTTGCTGATGCTCTTCAATTATCGCCTCCTCTCGCCATCCTGACTGGAATGACAGATGTAGAGTTGTCCTGAAGATGGAATTTCTCTGCAAAGGCACCAGCTGTCAGAGCAGGTCTTGTGTGTCGGTGGAGAAGCACCGAGACAGCTTGGTGTGTTGCAGCTGGCAGTCCTGCCATTTTCCATGAGGCAGGGAAAAGCACAGGCTGTACAGGAGCTTACGGGGATCTGCTTGCATTAATGACGAGAACTTGGCTGGTTAGCTTAGCACTAAATGCCATTGTGAAAATGGCTGGTACAAGGGCAGTTCAAAATGGTCCCAGACTTGAGCTTGTTCACATCCCGTTGAAGATGACAACCCGAGACCACTAGCTTAGCTTTCACGAAGAATACTTACTCCCCTCTCCCTTACCGTGCAAATTATGCTTGAGTCGAGCGAGAAAAGCATCCGTGGTGATGGGGAAGGGAGCATGCGTACTACAGCTCATCGCTTTCTGGTAGAATCCGCACCCAACCTTGCGGCACTCTGTTGAAGTTGCGTCTGTGGGAAATCACCTCCAGAACACTCAAGTTATCCAGCTCCATGGCAGGCACAAAGAACAGGTCGCTGACCAGCGCTTTGTCAAATGGGGTGGGAGTCCTGTGGCACAAGAAGAAGCAGACTTGGCACATCACGAGGAGAGGTTGTGCATGATGTAAAGGTGATAGAAAAAGCAGGTCTGGATTTACTGATTCTGAGCCCAGCAGCAACCTAGCAATGCCTGTAGCAAATGACAGCCCTCCTTTTCCTCCCCAGGATGCTGTTGGAGCCTCTGCTAGCCCAGCGAGGTGCTTCTTTTGTACAGAGCCAACCTCAACTCAAGCTTTGGCAGGCCTGGAGAGTGGCGTTTGGTGCCTGAGCATCAGTGGCTGTGCAAGGGAGGGAGGGACCGTGTTGTTACCTTCACCTTGGTCTCTCTTGATCGGCTCTGCCAACAGCAGTAGGGATGTGCTGTGTGTGAAAGATATTAGATTAAGAGAGCAGGTGATGGTGACAAACCCCGTGGTCTTTAGAAAGTGACTTGTCTGCAGCTAATGTGTTCTGCAGAGGGCTGAGGCTGATAGTGCTGCCTCCTGATCGCTCTAGCACATGTGCAGGCAAATGTCTTTCTCTTGGCCCTGGCTCCAGTCTGCCTTTTGGGACAGCTTCTCTTGAACTATGACTAACAGGAGGAGCAGTGCGGGGGCAAAAGCTGTCATCCCTTCCTGGAGAAATGTGGAAAGGGACCAGGGAAGAGAATGCCAGCCCCTGAAAAGCAAAGAATGTTGGTTTTGGAGCAGCACATGGAGGCTGAGCTATCAATGAGGCATAGCTGGGAATGTTTGCTTTGGGAGTCGCTGCTTGAACATGAGTAACATGGCACTGTTTTGCAACAGAGGAGAAATAAGAGGGGGGAAAGGTAAATGGGAGACGTTTTTTCCAGAAACACTCCCCCTTCTGGGAACAGTCCTTTTCAAAGATTGGTGTTCACTTTCTTTTAAGGCAGCACATCTTAGCAAAGTAGCCGAAGGTCTTTGCGTCACAGCCTGAATGTTTAAAGTTGGGAATAAACCAGTCTGCTTTAGTGCAGTTGCTGTTGAGATGGTGAACTTCCCCTTGCCCTGTGACCCATATGAGCTGTGCTGGGATTCACCTAGCTTTAGGCGAGACCCCTGGCTTTTTGCTAGCTGATTTGTTCCAAAAAGCTTGTTTTTCTGCAGTTTGGTATTTGATGAACTGAGAAGTGATTTAAAAGCCAACAGCCTGGAAGATCATGAAAAGCCCAGTTAAAAGCAGATTGGCTCTCTGAATCTTTATGCCTCAGTGAAGAATTAGAGGAGGTGGCGAGAGGCTTGGTGTTAAATTAGCATCCATCTGTATTAAATAACAGTTCAAGACTTTAAATAGAAAGGCAGCATGTGAGAGGGGAGAAATGGTACGGGGTAAGGCATTATTCAGAAACATGCCCTTGCTTAAGTCCCTGTCTGTAAATAAATGCTGAGGCAGGAACATGGCTAAACGTTGAAAGAAAAGAGCCAAGTGACTGCAGCACCTCCTTGTTCTCCCCCTACGGCACCTCCTTGGATGTTACTGCTCCAGGAAGCTCAAGAAGGCTGAGTAACTGGGAAGGACACCCTGAAGGAATAGCAAATGCAGCCCCCCCTTTGCTTCCCCACACTTGCGGTGGCTGCCGGTGGGTTCTTGTCTCTTCCCTTTCTCCCTCAGCCCCCCTCCAGTGCAGACCAGTACACTATCATGCTTTCACTGGTGTGGGAAGGGAAACGCAGTGGTGCTGAGCGTGCAGCAGCCTCGTGCTGTGCATGTCACCAAGCCCCAGGGCTAAAGGAGAGGAGAGCAGCAAAGGGACGGCGGCAGCAGCATCTCGGCTCTGCCGGTGGTCGGGCTCATCTCTGCTCTTTGGGATGCTGTTCCCATGCAGAGGGGTTGTAGTCCCCTGTAGCCCCTTCTGCCAAGCGTTCAAAGAGCGGCATTCCTGTCCCCCCCGACTCAAATCCAACCCTGGTGCAGGCTCAGGAAAGCTGCTGTCTGCAGAGGCCCAGCACCATGGCAGGTGGTGTGATGGGGAGCAGCGCTGTGTCCTGGTAGGGAGCTCCGGTGGGAGCTTGCCTACGGGAAGGTGACTTTTGTCAGGCCACTGAGGCTAACATACTTTCATCCTCCTAAAAGAGGCTTTCAGTGAGGAGGAGAGCCAGGACCTTGGTTTGCAGCTTAAAAGTTCAGTTCTCATTAGTCTACCTTGGCTGCTGGTGCTTTGCTACCGCCATCTCCTGAATCCCCGCCAAGCACCTTTCCAGAAAGGAGATTTTCCCTGGCAGTGTCTGCTCCAGGGTCCCAACCTCGACCCCGGTGTAACTGGGAGGTGTGAGGAGGCACGGCAGCCGTGCTCCATTGGAAGCAGCCGCAGGGCATGGAGCTTGCCAGGCTGAGCCACCAGAAACTCCCTGGCCTGGAGACTTCAGTCTCAAGCAGGTGTTTGGAAGGAATCTGGTGACCTCTTAGCACCTTGTGGGAAGATTAACCTTATACCCCCACCGCTTCCAGCAGCTGCTTGGATACCTTGAGGAAATTAGGAGAGCGGCTTGGCAGTGTCTGTGCTGTTCCTCCACCCAGCCCGGAGCTGAGCCCAGCTGGGAAGCAGCGATTCCTTCTCCAGGACCATGCGCATGAGCATTAGTCCTCCCAAATTTCATCCCTGAGGCTACCCAGTGAGATCAAGCTGCTTAAGACTGTGCAAGCCTGGTGGTGGGGCTGAGAGGAGATCTGGGGAGCTGCTGGAGGCAGGGACCTTTGCAGAGGAGCCATGGAGGAGCTCCTGAGCAGGAAAAGAGCAACCTTAGCCCTTGCTGCTCCTCCATGGTGGATAAAGAGGGCATGGACCGTTGTGTTTCCCTGGCAGGATGGTAGGTGCTTCTTGAGGCTGAAGGGTTTGGCCAAGGGATGGACAGGCTGGCGGTGCCTGCTTGTCAGCCAGTGTTACCTGTTGAAGCTCCTGAAGTCCCACAGAGAGGGTCTCACGGGCGGCTTGTTTTCGCCATGCACAGCCTTGTCCTTGTCACCGAGGAGCTCCTGCCACGGGGATCGGTAGCCCTTGGGGATGGCAGTGACATTGAACTTCTCCGGGGGGACTTCTTTGAGGGGGCCAGAGTACCCTGCACAGGGGGAGAGAGAGCGTGGGCTGCTGCGGCCACAGCCGGGCTGGGGCAATGTGCCAAGCAGGGGAGAGGGGGCTAGGAACAGCCCTGCCTTCCCATGGCCAGGATTACATATATATAACAAATATCTGTGATACATTTATACATATAAAAACACTGGGGGAGGATTTTGGGGAGGAAGCCTCGGCAGGCAGCAGCTCGCTGCCTCCAGCCCCACATTACTGAGATTACAACGGTGTCGGCTTTGGGATGTAGGCAGCATTTACCCGGGGCCAGAGCATCGGGGTTGATGACTTTGCTCATCTGCAAGACTTTCTCTGTCTTCTTGGGCACTTCAGGGGGGCCGCCCTGGGGCGATGCTGCCACGTGGAGCTCGGAGTGATAACTCTGCTGGCCCTCGGCATCCTCCCCTGCCTGTGGAGGAGAGAGTCAGCAGGCACGGGGAGCTCCCCCTGCCCCGGTCAGGACTCGGGAGGCTGTTGAAAGCACCTTGGAGCTTCCTCCACCTACTCACCGTCCACTCATTTGCTGTTCCCTCCAGGTCACCTTTCTCAGTGCGCTGTGAGCCACTCGCCCCTGGCCCTGGGAACTGCAGGAGGTGAGGAGAAGGGTTAGCGGGTGCAGAAGGGGACCATCCTCTTGCTCTTCAGTGGATGCTGAACCTGATGCTTGCCCTTCTCTGTGCCCAGACCACCCAGCCATCTCTCTTCTCCCTTCATCTTGACATAGCAGGCAGCTGAGCGTGGCTGTCCTGCTTAGAGACCCCCAGACCCACCAGGAATCGCTTCCCTGCAAAGGCTGAGAGAGCTGGGGAAGGGTTGTCCTGCTCGGAGCTGGGGAATGAGCCACAGACCCACCTCCCTGTAGCCACTGGGATGCTCGAAGATGAAGCGCTGCATCCGCCTCTGGCGCTGCTGGAAGAGCAGGGAGCCACGGTTGTTTGGCAGGGAGAGCTCCTCGATCATCAGGTCCTGTGCCACGCTCACCTTCTTGCCCAGGTCCAGCCGGGGCACTGGGGAGGCAAGGGGAGAGCACAGCCACGGCTGAGGCTGCTGCAGTGCTGGGGACCCCCATGCCCAGTGCAAGGACACCGCATCCCCTCGCTGGGGTCCCTGTTGCGTGGCTCAGCCATGCGCCCGCACCGGGATCTGTGCCAGGGACTGGCATTTCCTCGGTGTGGGGAATTGTCAGGGACTTAGCTCAGCTCCAGAGGCTCAAACAGCCTCTCCTGCCCCCGTGCATGGACCCCTCCGGCCTTTGACAGGCAATTGCTACCCCTTGGGGCTGTAGTGCAAGAGGGGACCAAGAAAGCAGGCATGGAGGCCCCGGGGAGTGGGGCCAGTAGTTTCAACCAGAGCTGGGTCTGGCCCCTAGGCAGGGTGGGCAGCACTGTCGTGGGACTGGTGGCACCCTCTGGCCCCCCTTACCATCTTCAGGGCCCGGTCTCATGATGGTCATCACTTGCTGCCACGCTCCTGGGGCAGCTCTGTGGGAGAGGGATGGATCCTGCCCAGCTGGAAGAGAGAGGCAGCCCTGGGGTGATACCAAGCACGGGGATGTGTCAGCCCCAGGTGTGCCACAGGGACAAGCCAGGCTTTGGCTGAGCATCTCCCCCAGACAGCATCATCCCTGAACACCTCCCCTGGCCAGCATCATCCCCACACTACACTCCATTCCCTTCAAAGGATGCAGGGAAACGTCCAAACTAGCCACCCCTCAGCCCCTGCTTGTCATCTTTCCTCTCTGCCTTTCTTTAGGGCAGAAAATGTCCCCAGTTCTGTCCTTGCCTGTAGTGAGCCGGTGTCTTCGTGTCCGGAGCCCCCTCAGAGCAGCACCCACTGCCCACAGCCTGCTGGGTGAGCAGGGGCCCTGGCTGCAACCCCACCAGCACCTCCGCCTCAGCAGAGCTATTTTCAGCTGCTGGCCCTGAGGGTGCAGGGGCTGCAAACCTAACCCTGCTGGGTTGCTGGCGAGCCCAGCCAGCAGCAAGATGGGGTGCGGGGTCACTGTCCCCACTTACGGGGCTGGGTCGCTTCTTAGCTTCCAGCTTCATCACAGGGAGGTGGCTGAGACCAGCCCTGGTCTGAGCCCCCCTGGGCTGCCCACCCACAGCAGCAGCCTCCCGTGTGGCTGGGAGGTTCGGCTCAGTAAGTGCAAGGCTCGGCCGTGTTTGGTGCATCTGGCATCCCTCAGCTCTGGCTGATGCTGTGCAGCTTCCCCTAAGAGCCCTGGAGAGCAGGGGGTCCCTGAGGGACCACGGGTGCCTGGCATGCAGCTCCCTGCCAGCTCTCAGTTCAATATTAACCAGTTGCACGGCAAGCATGACACTTGTGCCCCGTCCTTTCCTCGACCCCCCCGCTCCAGGGAGACCATCCCCTGACCCCCACGGTGGCGATGTCCCCACTGCCAAGGCTGGGATGTCCCCAAGCCCCACGCACCCACCCACCCACCAACCCCAGCGTGGGACCTCACCTCCCCTACCTGGCCAGGGGACACCCCCAGATGCCGGGGACCGAAAATTCTCTCTTGCTGTGCTGGGGATGAGGCTGAAGCCAAGCTGCGGCCACCGGTGCTCAGTGGCCCCGGCTGGCCCTCCGTGGCACCCCGGGTTCCCTGCCGCTCGCCCCAACCCCTGCTGGGCTCCAGCCCAGATGCCAAGGTCCGGCCGCAGGACAGCGGTTATTTCTGGCTGAGAAAGGGGGCGGAGCGGGGCTGACCCTTGGGGACTGGGATGCCGTCACCCCGGCATGGAGCAGGGCTGATCCCTGGGGACTGGGATGCCATCACCCCGGCACGGAGCAGGGCTGATCCCTGGGGACTGGGATGCCATCACCCCGGCATGGAGCAGGGCTGATCCCTGGGGACCAGGATGCTGTCACGGAGCAGGGCTGACACTTGGGGACTGGGATGCTGTCACCCCAGCACAGAGCAAGGCTGATGCTTGGGGACTGGGATGGTGGCCATGCAGCAGCAGCAGCAGGAGGTGGCCATGTGCCACGTGTGCCCAGGCCACCCTGGGGACGTATCAGAACCAGGCAGGCCAGGCCGGGTGGGATAACAGCAGTTTATTTGTGAGTTGGGTATACAACTGTGTGGTGAAGGCAGGTCGTGGTGGCGGGGGGGGCTGTGTCCCAGGAAGGGCAGGCTGCAGGGTGGGGGGACCCCGGGGGACAGGGAAGGGCTGGCTGTGACAGCATGTCCTGGGAAAAGGGAAGGGGTAACAGGGTCTCCCTGAACAGGGAATGTGCCAGAGCCCCAGCAGCCCAAACACAGTCTCCGTTCTCGGTGCTGGTCTTACCAGCACCAAGGCTGTGTCCTCTGGGTGGGTGGCTGCGGTCACTGCCGTAGCCTCTCCTGGCACCCCAACCGGCTCCTGCTCCCCCCCGGGTGGGGACATGTGCTTTGAGGACCCATTGCCCTCCTGGGCACCCACTGCTCTCCCCAGGCTCTGCCACATAACTGTGTCTACCCTGATGCCCTCCTCTCCCCATCACCCCCCCGAACATCCCTCTGACACTGCTGCCATCATGGGGGCCTCTGCTTGCCCCCCCAGCCCCTTGGAGGGCTCACTGGGGGGACACTGGCTTGTCCCCAAGACACTCAGCATCCCCTCCTGCACTGACACCTCCTTCAAACCCTCTGCAACCTGTACCACTTGCTTTGCCTCCCCCCAGCCCCCCCACTTTCTCCCACCCACCCTGGCTGCCACAGCACCCGCCGGTCCCTGTGTGTCCCTCCATCCTTCAGGGGTGGGGACAGGGAGGGGGTGAGCCTGAGGATGGGGACAGTGACAGGGTACAGGATGGGGCTGTCCCCCTTTGCCTGGGCAGGGCGGGAGGGCAGCTGTAAACGGTCCCCTTGATGTGGCAATAAATAACTTTGGCTCTCTTTTCGTCACCAGGGAAGGATTTGGGGGAATTTGTTTCAAAAGGCGTCAAAAGTAAAAAAAAAAAAAAAAAGAGCAATGAAGAATTGGGGGGCTGGACTAAAAAATTAACTTTTCCTCCCCCAAATCTGGTTTCAATTGAAACCAGCCAGATCTGGAGGCTGGGAGAGCGTGCCCGGCCGTGGCACCTGCTCGGCACTGCCCACCCATGCCGGGTGCGCCGTGACCCCGTGGGCAACAGCACCGGCTGTGCCACCCCAGGAAAACAGAGCTGCGGTGACGCCCCGGGGTGACACCTCGGCACTGGGGACAGGGGTCTCGCAGGGGACCACCGAGTCCATCCCCATCCTGGCTATGTGGCATGGGGCCGGCTGGCAGGCAGGGGCTGCAGAAGGAGGGGGCCATGCTGGGGGCTGCCTCCCCCCCCCCCCCCGCCACCGCCTGCTCTGCCTGCTGACCACGCAGTCCTGCCCCGAAAGGTTAGGGTGGTAAAAATAGAGTGGGGGCATGGGCAGGCGGGAGGCACCTGACCCCGCTGGCATGTCGAGGGGCTGCAGCAGCTCCGCTGAGGAATGGGGACGCCGGTTTTTGGGGACCTCAGCCCCCAGGGTTGGGATGTTCCCAGCGGGGGAGTCAGTGGGTGGCATCGCCTGGGCTGGCAGGGGTGGCTTGGCCGGGGCTGGCTCGTCTAGGAGGTGCAGGGGGCCCCCGAAGGCAGCCCCCCCTGCTTCAGCCGCAGGCTGCTGGTCCAGCCCCGGGGACAGAGGTTGAAGCTGTGGATGCCCGGGCTTTTGGCCCCCGAGTCTTCGGAGTCGAGGGAGACGTCCGAGTCCGTCGGGGACCGGGAGGTGCAGCGCTTGGCCGAGGATCGCCCACCCACCACGGGGGATGGCAGGGGACTCTTGGGGCTGGGGGACAGCCCGGGGATGGGGCAGGAGGACACGCTGGGTGACAGCAGAAGCCGGCGACCCTCTGCCCAGGAGGCACGGGGCATCCCGGGAGAGGCACAAAATTGGGGGCCATCCGCCCGGGGCGATCGCAGGGGACTTTTGTGGGTGGGCGAGGGGCTGCCCAGGCTCCCCGGCACGCTGCCGGCAGCCTGCAGTGCCGGGGCTCTGGAGCTCTCCGGCCGGGGGGACTGGGGCAGGCTGGGGGGGCCAGCAGGGATGGGGGTGAAGGGTCGGGAACCCTCCGGCCCCACAGCTTTGGGAGAGGAGCTCTTCCTCCGGGCAGCGTTGATGATGTTCCTGGCGAGCCGCGCTTGCATCTGCCGGCTGGCCCGAGGGTCGGCGTCCTGCCGCAGCGGGGACAGGGACCTCTCGCTCCACGGAGGGGATGTGGGGGGTCCCTCGTCCAGCTCAGGCACCGAGGCCGGGCTGGCCCAGCCGTCCAGGCTGCCCGGGCGCCGCACCGGCCGGGGCGTCCAGGTGGGCGAGGCGGGGAGGGACGGCCGCCTTTCCTGGAGGGGGACAGAGAGCGGGTTAGTGCCGGCACCGCTCGGCGGGACGAAAAGGTCAGGGGCAGGATTGGTGTCGGGGCGAGCTTCATGCTGGCTCAGCCCCGTGGGAACTGGGGATGCCTGCTCGTGCGTTGCACCCCCTGCAAGGTCCCCCAAAATGCATTTGCCTCTGCACCCCCCCTCACCAGCTGAGGAAGCTGGGGCAGGCTGAGCCTGCAATTAGTCATCCTTGCCCAAAATAGGACCCAGGACCTCTCACGACCTGCAGCTTCCTAAAGCCTCCCTCTGGGTGACACACGGAGACCCCCCCCACCCTGCGCCGCCCCAGGGGTCCACCAACCAGCAGCTGCTCCCCAGCCAGCAGGAAAGAGAAGAGCCAGGTCTGACAGCGCAGAGAGTGTATTCAGAAAGAGGGGGGAAAAAAAAGAGAAAAACGCAGGAGAAATAAAAGCACAGTTGAAAGGCAACTCGTTACCGTGGGGAGAGCGGCAGGAGTGAGGGATGGGCAGAGGCAAGGCTGGACCACGAGCATCAGGCTGAGCATCACCCAGCGGCCCTGCCCTCCTCTGCCCGGCACATCCCTCGCTCCTGGCCGTGCCAAGCAGCTCTGCCTGTCCCCAGCTCCAGCACCAAGCACGGGGAGGGACAGGGACCCCGCGGTGTCCCCAGTTTCGGCACCATGGGGCTCTGCCATTCCCCCGGGGATGTGGCTCTTCCTCCGCAGTGTGGAAGCAAACGAGGACAGATCCCGAAGGAGCAGCAGAAGAAACAGGAGCAGGCACAGTGAGGCAGAAAGGCGGTGTGTCCTCTCTGGGTTTGCTTTGGTAGGAGGCCGAGAGGAGCCGGCAGGACAGAGGGGCTGCAGGTGAACGGGCAGAGCCAGCAGCTGCCGGTTATGAGAGCTGGAAAGGCAGGAGGCAAGGAAAGGACGGAGCCAGAGATGCAATGCTCCATACAGTTTCCAGGCGAGAGAAGAAAGCAAGCACCGGCGGCCCCTCGGGATGGGCAGGCTCCTGACGGCTCTTTGGGATCCCGCAGGCTCCATGGCCCCGACTCCTGCTGCCACCCCGGGACCCCTCGGCTCCCATTACACCGGGGGGCTCGCCCCTGTCCTGGCACTGCAGCCTCCCAGCTACTTCTTTTTTCTATTTCCTTTTCTTTTTTCCCCCTTTTTTGTGGTTGGTTCGGCTTTTGGAACGCCCATGAGCAGTTAGGGAGGACTTGGCCAGCGGAGGGAAGCCTTAAGCCCCCGTGTTTTTCTCTCCACCACCTCTACTTGTAGTAAAAAGAAGGTTTCCACACCTGCGGCTCGATGCCGGCATTCCTGGTGGAGTAGGAGGGCCGGGGTGCCTGGAAGCCTCCCTTTGCTCGGGGCGGCAGCAGGCGGCACGGGGAGGCCAGCAGCACCTCGTTCGGGGCTCCGGGACCGGCACGGCTGTCATGAGTCAGGGGCAGAGCCCCGGTGGCACCAGGTAAGGGGCTGGAGGTGGTCTGGCCGGCACCGGGCACGGCGGGGGGATGCCAAACGGGGGAAGGAGGCAACGGAGAGGTCGGGCAGGAGGTTTGCTGGGAGTAGGGGTAGGCGTCGGGAAGAGAAGGTCTGGGTGGAGGCATCTCCCGGGGCATGGACCTCGCTGGCCCCTTGGATGGAGAGAGGATGAAGAGTGAAGACTGGAGCTGGTAGGGCTGGTGCTTGGAGATCTCCAGCTCTTTCTGGGAGACCTCATTTTCCATCAGGTTGCCGCCGTACAGAGATGCTGGGGGGGTTTTGGAGGGCCTGGAGGGACTTTTGGAGGGGTGTCTGGAGACCATGGGCGACAGGCAAGCGTTGGCGTCGTACCTCCAGGAGGGAGGCAGGGACATGGTGGGCGACGGGGACCGCAGCAGCTCGGGCTGGGAGGGAGCCTCGATGATGAACTTCTCCATCCTGGACTGCCGGCGGGCGAAGAGCTCGGCCCCCTTCCCTCTCGCTTCACTGAGGTTGTGGGTGGGCTGCGGCTTCGGCTTGGGCTTGATGGTGGGAGACTTGAGGCAGGAGGACCACGCCGGAGCATCGTCGGCTGGCAGGAGGTGCTGCCCGCCCCTGGCCATGCTGTTGGGGACAAAGTTGGAGGCTTCGGCCCCGAGGGCGAAGGGCTCATCTTCGGCACCGGGCTCCCCCTGCTCTTTCTGCTTCTTCCTGCTGTCCGCGCTCTGAACCAGGTCCAGCAGATCGGGGTTGGGGCCCAGCTTCGGCTTCTCGACGAAGGTGAACATGGACTTTTTGCCGCCTCTACGGGCGGCCGACTCCTCCAGGATCCCTGTTTTGGGCAGAGGGTTCGGTCCACTCGCCCCACAGCTCAGGGGGGGACCTGGCAGCATCTTCTGCTCCCGGGGGGGATACAGAGCCGAGTAGGCAGGGGGGGAGCGGACGCGGGTGAGCGGCGGGGGGCTGCTCAGGGTCTCCGCGTAGGTGGGCGGCGGGGGCAGCTCGGTGGCAGGGGGTCCATCGGCTGGCTGACCACTGGCGGGGGATGACTGGGTGCCAAAGGGTCTGGCCGTCCGGTTCTTCACGGGCTTGGGCTTGGCCAGGGTGAGATGGACCTCGTAGTACTGCCGGCCCTGCACCCCATTCTGCCGCTGGCTGGCGGGGGATGCCGTCCCGGTGGCCGTCCCCACTGGTGCGCTGGGCACCTTGCTGGGCACCTCGCCGGGCACCTCGCCATTCTTCCCCTCCTTGGGGCTCTGTGGCAGGGCAAGAGCTGCTGTTGTGCTCAGCCCCGCAGGGGCTCCTGCAACCCCAAGCCCCCCTGCCCTGCTCTCCATTCTGCTGGCCATCCCCTCCTGCACGCCGTTGGTGGCAGCTGATGCCATGTTCTCCTTCAGGTAGATGCTAAGCGGGACCTGCTGGGCTTCGGCAGGTGTCTCCCGGCACGGGGAGGTGTTCGCCTGCAGCCCTTCTCCCAGGGTGCCGGGCTGGTCGGGCTCTGGCTTTGTCCCCTGCCCCTCACCCTCCTCCATGGCTGCTTGCCGAGGCCGGGGAGCGGGGGTCAGTGGCAGCCCCCCGCCATGCCCGGCCCCGGCGAGCCCGTCAACGCGCTGCTTGCGGCGGTTGAAGAGCAGGACTCCCTTGGAGCTGGGGCTGGGTGCCGTGGTGAGCTGCGCCGCGATCCTCCGGCTCCGCGCCTTCGCCTCCTTCAACTCCTTCTCAGAGAGGCTGGCGCTGCGGGAGAGACCTGGACAGAGGGGAGAGGGGAATTAGGGGAGACTCAGCGGGGATGTGGGATCTCAGCTCTCCCCACCCAGGACCAGCAGCCCTTTCTCCAGGTATCCCCTGGCATCCCAACCCCTTCCCCAGCAGCTGGGGGAAGGCAGGAGCTTTGCTCTGGGGCTGGGGTACACAGGGGGGATAACGCAGTCCAGGGGTGATGGGATGCTAAGCTGCAGCTCTGCGTGCCGAGGGGACAGATGGCAAAGCCCAGGGGACACCCAGGGGCACTCAGGACCTTTCCTCCTGTCCCACTGCATATTTCGGCTGGGCTCTGCACGCCCACCACGGTGACCAGTGACCGTATGGGAAAGGAATTTCTCCAAGGGCTTCAGCAGGTCTCAGGTTGCAGTTCACATGGTTTTGGCCCCTGGCTCAAACAGGCAGCGGGCAGGGAAGGGGCGAGCACGTGTCCCCTGGCCCCTCGCCCCAAATCCCAGCACACTCAGCCCCAAGAGGGCAGGAAAGCAAACCCAGCGTCAGCTGGGAGATGCCAGCCCACCATAACCTCATGGCAAGGCCGGTGGCCAGCCCCATCTGGGGACTGATTTATAGAGCAACACGAGATGGCAGCAGCCGACAGAAGCTGTGCAGATCCTGACCCGCCGGACACAGACACAGCCCACAGCAAGGAACCAACCTCATGCCTTGGGAGCCTATGCAAGTGCTAAAAGCAAAGTGCTAAAGCCCGGCGAAAGCCCCGTGGTGAGCAGCCGGAGTGCTGCTGGGCTTCTTGTGTGCTGGCCAAAAGGTCAGGGCACCAGCCCTTCCCGAAGGCCAAAAGGATGTGGAGCTGCCGGGAACGCGTTTTCTCAGGGTGAGCAATTTCCTACGAGCTTGCCCTGAAGCACCCGTGGGAAGGGCAGCGTCCCCGGCCCTGCCAAGGCCACTGCTCGGCGACAGACACCGGTGCAGAGCATCAGCATCACCCCAGCACCCACCAAGGATGCAGCCCGCTCCCCAAAGGTGCTGCTGGGATGGCTGTGATGGGGTGGCCCCACTCCGGGCTCAGCAGGGAGGTGGGTGGCCAGGGCTGCCCACCCCAAGCCCCACTCCTCCAGGCACCACCAGTGCCCCCTCTCCTTCCCTTCCCACCTTTTCCCTTCCCTTCCCTTCCCTTCCCATCCCTTCCCTTCATGTGTTTCTCATTTTCTTGCCTTCTGTGCCGCTTGGGAGCCTTCCAGGATATTTTCAGCAGTGGCTCAGCCTACCAGTGAAGGAAGGGATGGATGACTAAGCCAAATCCTTCCAGCGAGCCCACGGTGAAGCAGGAGGGCTGCTGCAAGTTGGGCATCTCCTCTTCCTCACCCTTCATCCCTCCCACCTCCTTCAGCACCCAGCAAGTCCCTGCCCTTGCTCCAGCACCACCAAGGTGTGCAGGATGGCCCTGCTTCCCTGGAGGGGCTGGAGAGGAGGAGGAGGGTGGATGAAGCCTTTGGGCTGGCCGGCAGGAGGGTTTTGGCTGGGCACAGGGGAGAGGAGGCACAGATGCCAGTGGAAACTCTCTCCTGGAGACAAGGAGCCCGTCCGCAGTGGCGATGCCAGCAGCCAACATCTCCCCCAGTTAGCGCCCGGCATTGTTTAACGCCCCATTTCTATTTGTTTTGGCGGCGGCACAGAGCGGGGCCGTGGTTTCCTCCGGCCGGGCTGGCTGGAGGGCGGCCAGCACCGCGGCTCCCACTCCACGGGGTCGCCCTCGCCGCCTTTATCTTCGAAACAGAGGAGAAAAACGGCCAAGGAGCCGTTGAGAAACAAGCCACAGGCTCCAGATGTCTGTGAATTTTGTGCTCCAAGCCGAGCATCCTCGCTTCCTCGGAGGCTGAGGCCGCCTAAGAAGCCGAGCTCTCGGCGGAGCCATTTCACAGCCTCTCGCTCTTGCTACTGCTTTTTAACAGCAACCGAGGGGCCCTGGGGGATCTCCTCCATGCTGGAGGGATGACTCAGCTCTTGGCCAGCCCATTCCTGCTTGGACTAGCCGCCGGATACACTCCTGCATAGCCAGGACCAGTGCCGGGATTCGTCCCCCGGGATTTTGCCCCCAGGTATCCCCATCCCTTGCTGCCGTCCCGGGCACAGGCATCCCTCCAGGCCAGGGGGTGCTGCCGGGTGGGAGCTCCCTGCCTGAAATCCCCCACTTGGCATCTGTTCCCAGCATTGCCTTGTGGACCCCCATCCCCTATGCTTTTCCAGCAGCCCCTCTGCCCCTGCCCACCTGGTACCCACCATTCCCAGGCTGCTCCACCCAAGCCCGCTGGAAACAAATCCCTCAGAATACTAATGGGGATACTGGGGGTAATAATTGCTCTTCACATCCACTGTTTATCACACGGATAGAGAGCACCAAAGCCTCCGGCAGGCCAGAGGAAATTGCAGAGAACCACCCTGTACACCGCCCTGCTTGCACAGCCGCACACAGCCCAGCGGACAGACAGACGGACGGACCCTGCAGCCCGGCTCTGCAGGCACTATTGCAAATGTGGCTCATCATCGCTCAACCGAGGGTGACGTGCCATCCCCAGCCAAAGGACAGGGACCACCTCCCTTCCCTCTCTCTGCTCCAGCCTGAGCTGCAGGGTGAGGTTATTCGACCTGGTGTAAGAACTTTTACCCATCTGCCACAGTGACCTGCACCCCGTGCTCCCCTCCCAGCTGCCAGGAACGTCTCTTAATCCTTCCCTGCCATCCCCTGCCAGCTGGGGAGCCTCAGGTAGGCTCCAGCTGGGTGCTTCTCCCCAGCCCCAGGCTGACGGGAGGGAGCTCAATGCACTGAAAATGTCCAGGTGCTGGGGAGGAGGAGGAGGGGCGCGGGGCCGAAGGCAGCCCAAGCAGCGCGGGGAGGAGGAGAAAGCAAAACTATGCGCAGCCAAGGGCGCCAGGGGCTCGTGCAGCACTGGAAACCGGCTTCCGCCCATTAACAGGAGTCCAGTCCAAAATCCAAAGGGTGACTGGCTCTTCTCGTGCTCTTCCACTCTTCCTTCCTTCCTTCCCACGCCATGCACCGGCTTGCCACCGCGCTGCCCTTCGGGAAGGAAACGTCTCCCCTCTCCAAATGTCCCGGCTTATTCCAAGAACAATGAATCCAGCCCTGCCAGCCCTGTCTGCTGCTGCGTCCCTCTGTTGGGGGGTCCCCCGGCAGCCCCCAGCCCTGCGGTCCAGGGATACTGGGGAAGGAGATGCTCCCTGTGCCATGCAGGACCGCTGGATTCCTGGCACATATTAGCAGCCGGCCACTGGCCACCAGCTACTGTTTTGGTGCAAGGCACTTCAGCTCCAGACAGAGGAGCCTATAGATCTCTATCTATATATTTATATAGGCACTTGCTCCATTGGTTTCCTGTAGCTCCAGGAATGACTTCCAGCAACATCCCCCAAATGCAGAGCTTAACAGCTTCTTACCAAGCTGTCAGTCATCCTTCCCGCAGCATGTACTGTGCTGTCTCCTCCAGAGTGAGGATGACGAGGGTGATGAAAGGCATTTTTGTTGCTCTCGCCTCTTGGCCAGATGGGAAAAATAAAATTCCTTCCAGCTCAACTTTCCATGCAAAGATGGGTCCCCCCGCACAGTGCTACTGCAGAGTGTCTGAAGTCCAGCCAGCAAAGGCTGGAGTCACCATCTGACCCCAAATGTTGGTTAAGGATGTATCAGACCCTGCCTGTGGCCCACCCTGCCCTGACATGGACTCCAAGAGCTGGGATGAGACGAGGATGTGGCCCCAAATTGCAGGGAGGGGAGATACCCCCGGGCTCTCTCAGCTGACAGATTCAGTGGAAGTTGCTGGTCTTGACGTGGCCGGGATGTCACAAAAAGAAAAACAGCAACTTGGAAGCTGTCACCTTGCAGGGGTGGGTGGCTGCGAGCACCGGGCACGGTGGTGAGAAGTCCTTGTATGGAGAAGCCAAGAGGTACCAGGGTCCCGATGGGGCCGGCGGGATGCAACAGGCCATGTGAAATCTTGGACTCAGGGCTGGCAGGCAACTCCAAAACCTCTGATTTGGGCTCTCTGTCCCTAGCTTGCTCCTGGGTCAGACGCTCGCCCATCCCAACGCCGCAGCCCACCTTGACCAGCTCGCAGGATGATGCTCACGATGTCCCACTGGGCCAGGCACAGCACGGACCAGAAACCCCAAATCCACCTTCGCACAGCGCAACAGCCGCTATCCATAACACGCAGGCGCTTTTCCCCCTTTCCGACTATTTCTTGGTCTGCGGTGAGTCAACCCAAATGGTGCCTCTTACTGGCAAAATCCCATTGGCAAAACCCAGCATTAAACTGAGAGAAACCCCATCTCTCCAGAGGGACACACGTTGCTGCTGTGCCACCTCCCTGCCACAAACCCGAACACACATCTACAGCCGGGAAGTGCTGGGGAGGGGGAATCCAGTGTTTTCACCCAAACATTGAGGGCTTTGGACACCGAGGAAATGTAAGCAGGTTTTTTTGGCAGAGAAGGCAGCTGGCCTTTTGCCCCAACTACAGCTGTGCAGGATTTTTTACAATGCACACTAACTCACACACATTTAAGTCTGCGCTTCCCTCCAGCTCCCAGTTATCCCAAATAATCTGCTGCTAGGAAAACAAGGAGGGTAGCACAGACAGGCAGTCGAGCTAGCTAGAAACAGATACGATTGAAACATACGGTTAAAAATATGACTATTTTCTGCCTCATTCCCAGCTTCCAACCCTCCTGTACTGCAGATATAAAACCTCCATGAAGTTTTTATCCATGCTGGCCTTGCAGACCCGAAAAGCCCCGGCTCAAGCGGTGGGTGCCATGGTGGGAGCAACCTCGCCTGCCTGGCAGGACGCACCGTGCTGGGCCTCTCCTCGCGGACGCCTTTGCCAGTGACAAAATCTGGCACAGTGAGAAAATTCGATGCGCTTGCAAGTTTTCTCTGCGCTCTGTTCGCAAGGGCTTTGCTGGATTTGGAGCTGTTTGCCTCCCCACGCTCCTCCCGGCTCGCAGCCGTGCCCCTGCTTTGCCCGGCGCTCAGCACCCAAATCCTGCCAAAAATGGCCCCGCGGTCTCCATGCAGCAAGCCCTGGGGCACCCATCTCCCACCTGGGGAGAGGAGGAGAAGGGGCTGGGGGTTAAATTTTAATGGGGACTGGCTGCCCCTGCCCCAGCCTCACTTCCCCGGGGCACGCCAAGCCGAGGGGATACAGGGAGCAGCCCCAGCCCTGCGTGCATCCACACTGGGGAAGAAGAGGCTGCTGCTACTGCAGAAGTGGAGGCAGCACCTTCCCCCAGCCAGCCCAAATTAAGCTTTTAGCTTTGCAAAAGGAGGCTGGAGCTGGGCAGACCTCCTCCAGGCTGCCTTGCCATCCATCTGCCCGGCACGCAGCAGAGCCAGCCCATCCCGTGGCCGGGTACAACAGGGACCCCATCCCGCCTGGCAAGCGAGTCCCAGCCCCTCTGTGCCCGCTGGTGCTCGGACTCGCCGTGACACATCCCAGGCTGCTGGGGTCCCAGTGACAGCCCCGCCGGGCTGGTGCCACGAGCCGAAGGTGCTGGCCTGGTGAGAGAAGGTCATCTGGCTTGGCTTGTCCCCGTCAGATGGACCGAGCGGGGAGGGGAGCGGGACGAAACGGGGCCTTCGCCTGTCCCTTGCACAACCCGTAAGGGATCCATCCCGCTGGCTGCCAAGCCGGAGGGACAGACCTCGTGTCTCCAGCACGGGGTGGCATGGCCAGGGGAGATCACGTCCCCATCGCAGGGGACGGGGGGACATTGCCTGGGAAGACACTCTGCAGAGCTGGGAGGTACGACCCTGCCAAGACCCCCACGTCCCCCCACTGTTCCTCCCATGCTGCACACCAGACCCCCGGGTGTGGGCAGAGGGAACCATCACCCTCCTGGCTAATTTATAGAGAGAGAAACCCCGCTTAGCCCCCATCTCCCGCCCCGGGCTCCACTCGCCTGCCCTTCACCCACCATCAGCACCCCACGGGGGGGTTCTGGGCATGCACTCCCGGACCCCCAAGCACCCCAGGACCCCCTATGCACCCCATAGGCCCCCCACCCCCCTAACCCCACCCGTGCACTACCAGCCCCTG